GCAGCGCTGCATTAGTGGGATGCATATTTTTGCCAAAATGCTTCATCATTGTTTTCAGGCCTCAGCTAAACCACAGGGAGCAACTCATAAAGAGGAATTAGTATGATCTTTCATTCTATGAGAAATTGCTGACAAAAATTAGTAGAAAGACTGTTTGCTCTCTACAGGCAAGATATAAAGGTTGGTATTTCTTTTGAAGGAAGATCTATGGAAGATTATTATTGTTATTGTTATTGATACTGTTATTATTGTTAAGTTTTTTTAGGATTGCCTATTCCAAGATTAATGCTCATGCTGCTGCATTTTGAACGGTTTTCTAAGGTCTTTTAACCTAAACATTTCTCCCTTTGAACACATTAAGCCAACATGATTTTGACAATCTAGGCTTCTTTGTTACTATTAGGCGATTTGGTAGATTGACTCAAAGGATGTCCAATGTTTGCAGCTGCCACTTTCTTGCTTTTATACTTTCAGTTCATAAGCTACTGCAGAAATATAGTAAAAAACTGAAACAAAAACTAATTAACTTTTATGGACATGTATTTAACCTAGTATCATAGTGGATCAGTTATGGGTTGGTTAGGGTTCTTTGGAATGTAAAATTGATAGAGTTTCTGAAACTTGTTCATGTAACTGTATCTTTTTAAAAAGGTTGCATGCTAAGTCATAACCTCTCACTGTCTGTCCATCCTTCTACTTCCACTGTAACCTATTATCAAATTTTAATAATACTGAAAACTGAGTAAAATGAAAAGAAATGTAATGTCTTCTTCCTTCTGCCTCATCCTTCATTAGAAATGTATGCTGGTCAATGACCACAGTGAAGATCGATTTATTCATTTTTATGTTCAAAGTGTGTCATTTGGCATGAAAAGCAAAGGTGAAATTTGGCCCAAGTTCTAGAAAAAACTGTAGACCCCTCTCTTATACAGGGAAGGATGACCAAGATGAAAATAACTGGGGAAAATAGTGTGAATGTTGCACTTATTGTATGTATATACCCATATTTAAATTTAGGTTTCTGTTGATGGGAGTGGGCACAGAATTTTTCCATGTAGGCATCAGCAGGGGTTGAGGCAATTCAATTTCTATTGAATAGAATGAAAGATCAACCAGAGGAGGACTGGCAAGGGAGGTTCCTGACATAATATGTATCATGAGATATTATGAATCTTGAAACTTTTTATACCTATATCAGATGGAAAATCTCCTTCTGGCCACGGGATTGGAAAAGGTCAGTTTACGTTCCAATTCCAAAGAAGGGCAATGCCAAA